CACAAAAAATTTTATTTCAAAATGTTTTTTGCCTGAAACAATTTCTTAAAAATATACATATAAGTAGACGTTCGCATTTATTTCTGGGAAGTTATTTAGGTATCGTGCTTTTTACAATGTTAATATTTAGAAATGATTGTATTGATTATTTTAAAGAAAAGTAAGAGAAATTAGAATTAATTGAAATTTTTGAAATGTTTTTATCATAAATAATATTTGTAAATGTCGCAAATTTCAATTTTTCAGCGAAACCGAAGATAAAAATATTAATAACTCGGCTATTTTTAGCATGCTATTCAGATTATAATTTATTTAAGTCAGAATTATCTGTTTGTTGACAAAGCAAAAGGTTTAAAAATTGTTTTTACTTTCGATTTTTAAAAAAGTTGATAAATCGACAAAGTGGGACCTATTCTAAAAAATACGATTTTTAATTAATAAATCGAGTTTTCTACGAAGTTAATATTTAACTGTGATTGTATTGATTATTTTAAAGCAAAAGAAAGCGAAATTCGACTTAATTAAAATTTTCTTAATGTTTTTATTCTAAATAATATTCGGAAATGTCACGAATGTCTATAAAACGATCATGAAATCAGAAGTAAAATTAGGTTAGGAGCATTTTTCGACTTGTAATATGCTGTAAATCAATGTAAAAAAGTAAAAAAATTCCAATATTTTTCATCGAATTTATTAAATTGCTTTTTTTTAAAACTAGAATTTAATTGACAAATTAGGATCTTTTTATGCGGACATGTACAAATATTATTAAGAAAATTTTTGTATTTTGTTTTTGGATGAAAATTACGAAAGCTATGAATTTTTCAATCTCACAAATTTTAGACAAAAATAATTATATTTTTAGACGATTTTTTTCCGCTGCAATACCAGATGAAAAATAATATAATTATGATACATTGTACTTTTTTAAAATTATTTCAAATATGAAGTGCAAATAATATTAGAACTGTAATGAAATCATCTAAGTCATTGCAAACAGTCTATGGAGCTAAAAATAAACTATGTTGAAATAAAAAAAAATTTATTCGTCTGCCAGAGAAATAATTAGAAGGTTTACAGGAAAACTAGTGAATTAGAATAACTAAGTTATTTTTCTGCATAATTAAATAAAAATACACAAATTAGAAACTTGAATTGATGACAAATTTCGAATTTTAGTGTCACAAAGGTAGTAATTTCAAAGTCAGTTCTGAATACATGTTATCATTAATTGATTGATTGCAGACAGAGCGTTTCGATTGTAAAAAAAATCTTAAACTGTTATTAAATAATTATATTTCAATTAAGATGCTATTTATTTTGCAAATCAATTAAGTAATTTTAAAATATTGAGATAACACATAGTAAATTGATTTAATAATTCTATATTTTATATATTTAACTTTAATATTACAATAAAATATCATTCAACAACTCGTATGTAATGTTATATATTGCTATATACCTACGGTTAACGCGATCTTACGTCGAAGTTCGTGTTTACGTCCGTATTCGGGTTCACGTATACGTAAAAAACAGTTTAGTGACGATATTTGCTAAGCTGCCATATTAGTGATGACCGTCTATTCTGTGTCCAGTGTTGTGCCAAAATCATTATTCTTTTATATTATTACTCCTGGGATTTAAATAATTAAGTTCAAATTGTGTGCTGCGTATCTTTTTTAAAGGTGAGTTTAATTTCCACAAAGTGTAAGTATTTTAATTTTTTAAAAAAACATTTTACATGAGTATGACTTGGCGAAAGCAAACATAACCTCTTTTCGGCTCATCTGTATACAATCAGTGTTAGAGTACATTTCTTAAGTAATTTACACCTTGATAAGAAGCGAAAATATTAAGTGTACAGAAATTAAGAAAGAAGAGCGTTCTCTAATTCGTTGTGTCTTTCTCAGTCTCATCTCTCACCTCTCTTTCTAAAGAAAAAAGTTTCGCTCATATGCTTGTGATTCGCTGCTCACTGTATTCTCCCCACCCTGCATGCAGGCAATACTGGCAAGCGTGTCCTTTTTTCTTAGTGCTTAAAGTGATATGACTATTTTGTATAATTATTATATAAAAAATTCCGTAATCAATAAGGTTCATCTCAATAGTTCAAAATTTAAGAAATTTAATTAAAGTGACAATAGGTAAATTCTTATAGATCATAAAAACTATAAACATTCAGACATTATCGTTCTCAACGAAATATTTCTTGAATTTCTAGTGACAAGTTTTACAATTTTAAAATAGTTTTAATTCCAATAATTTTCATTTAATCAATGAAATTTAAAAACACGATTGAAAGAATCTAAAAATCCGATGTTAATATTACTCTTTAACCTAATTTTAATTAGCCATAATTTTGAGGTTATCTGTCAAATAAAATTCAATATTTCAAAAATAGTGATATGCTCATGTTGCTCGCTGATGAGAAAAAATAATTCACTGTTATGACGAAAAAATTAGCATAAACAGTTGCATTTGTTTTTTTAGAAGAAAAGAATTGTTGTTTATTGTTGTATTATACTTTATAATAGTTATAATAGATCTGAAAATATTTTCTTTATTTTTTATATAAACTTATATGGAAATAAATTTATTAATTATTTTTAGTGGGCAAGTTTCATTTAAAGTTTAATTAATTAAAATTATTATTTAAATGTTTGATTATTGTGTAATAAAAATGAATTAATAAATGAAACTCATAAATTTGTCAAAATCGGGCGAAATGAAAATTATTTATCAATGAAATGGATTTTACAAAAATTATGGCTGATTTCCTGAAAATTGAAATGAACAAAATATTTTGTATTAGGATATTTTTAAAAATTACTGTACTATTTTACACAAAAAATAAAAGTCACCTGCAGTTATTGTAAATCGATTTTCGCTTTTAAAATATTAAAATTAGCTGCGGCTAATCCTATTTGAACGTGTAAAATACAATGTGGCAGCTACAAATTCTCTACAAATTTAAATCAGCAAAAAGTCGCTAATTAATTTCATTTTATATTTTTCAATTCATTCTATTTTATTTTTTGATTAATTTGTATTAATATATTTATATTTTAAAATGGCAAAAAGTTCGTTGCCACAACCAACTCTTTTTATGATTGTGATTAATAAAAGAAATAAGATAAAATGTTTTGTAAGTAAATAATTTAATATTTAATATAGGAAGCAATGTTTTGTAATATAAAATTTAAAATTAAATAATTTGCATAAATTTAGGTATATTTAAACGACATATAGAATATAATTATAAGTTATCATATTATTAATATTATTATTATTTTTTTTTAAATTTAAGGATATTTATACACTTAATATTTATATTTATATATTGTTATAAATTATATATAATTTTTATTATATTTATTTTATAAATAATAGTTTATTTATTTATATACATAAACACAAATAAATATAATTATATACACTTAATTAACGTGCTATTTTAAATTAAATGATTAAAAAGTCGTTCACTAATTTCAACTATTAAGATTTTCAATAAGTAGTAGGAACTTTCACCATTTTTAGATTGTACAACTTTACAGCAAAGTTTTTACAAATATTAACACACAGAAAATTAAAAGGTATTAAAATAAGATGCAACTAAATTGATTTAAAATAAGCTGAAAATGGATTAAAATAAGAGCGTTGCAGCTTATTTTAATAACTTTTAATTTTCTATGAAACGGTTTTTACTGCAATACAAATGTTGCTAATAATTAAAAGCTGTTTGATAAAATTGAGAATTTATAATAGTGACATAAATTGTTAGTATAAAACAATTTTAATGAAAAACCCTATAATTTCAATTTTATTTTAAAATATGGGTCAAAAAAATATTTAAATCAGTTAGAGTGGTTATTGATTATTCGAATACATAAGAATCTCAAGTCCGGTGAAGATAAACGATACACTTTGTAATGTCGGTTCCACATTGAGCACGTCCATACATTTACGTTTGACGGGACGCGTTCCCATTCAGAAATAGCATTGAGATACTTAGCTTCTGAACGTCACGTCAATTTCTTTGTAGATTCGACTTTAAACATATATATGAGCGATTTTAAATTAAATTTTATGGAAAATAAGAAATTTTGCAAAAAATAAAAAAAGATTTATTTTTGTTGTAATGTTTAGACTCTTCATATTTATATAAAAAATTTATATAGGTGTATAACAAAATAATATACAAGAATAGAGGACGTTTGTTTTTGTTGTATGAATTATTCTACATGTGAACAATTTTATTCTATTATATAGCTTTAAAGATGAAATATTCAAATCTTAGAATAGTAATTTTGCAGAATATCTACTAAATTGATTCTTTATGTAGTACAATTTTTATTCAGACGACAATTATGTTGCCTGAAATCAAATTTGAAGGAATTTCAATTTGTACAAAACGTCGTTTCGGGTAATATTAAGTTTGCAGAATAATAATATAAAAGAAATTGATAGAATTTCTATTTTGCAGAATTTTGATTACAAAGAATTTAAAGTGGATAGAATGATAATTAGAAAAATTATAATGTAGCATAATATTTTTTTAAAAATTTTAATATTACAGAAAATCAAAATGGTCGAAAATATATATAAAAATATATTTCGACAGGAAATACTTTTGTAGGATATATATAATTTTTTTTCTACCATTTAATGTAATTTTGTTTTCTATATATTTATATATATATATTTATGTATCTTTGTATAATTTTTTTTTTGCAAAATTAAATTCTTTTGAATATTTATATTGCAAACTTGAAATTCTGATAAATGACTTTTCGTTCGAATTTGAAATTCTATCAATTTATACTTTCTGCTAAATAAATTTTTGTATATTAAAAAATTTTGCAATAAATATAATCGATTTCATAGAAATTATGGAAAATTATAATTTGCAACAGTTAAATATTTCGCTATAATATTATTCCACTTAATAAAATTTTAACAAATTTGCTTTGGAGCTTATTCATGCGTTATTGTGTGATGGCATGTTTGTGATTTGTATACTATGATTGCTTATAATAAACATTTTCAGGTTTCCAGAATGGAGAAAGAGAATCGAGAGCAGTTGGACGCTACTCCCAGTACCTCGGGTAGGTTTAATTTTTTTTCTTTTCATCCCGTAAATCTAATTTTGAAAATTTTATATATTCAATACAGTAATTAACTTGATGCTGTTTACAAATGTCCGATTATATAATTCAAAATAGTTAATTTAACTTTTATATTTACCGATTTACATTTCAATTTCTTAGGAGCCACGAATGTGAGAAGAGGTGCACGTTTAAAGAAAGACAAACAATTTTATTCCCCAGAATTAATTGGGCCGAAAAATCCTAAAGAGCCTATGAAAGTGGTAAAAAAGAAAGCTGGACAGTCAGACGTAAGTTATTTTAGAGTGTGAAAAATTTAATCGTTAAATTTATAAGTTATTCTACTAGGTATTTATATTTTAAGATACATGATGTTTTTTTAAAGTTTTTAACTTGATTTCTATCAATATTTCTGTTCAGTGTTGTAAAATTGATTGAATTTGACATGCAGGCTGACTAAATATGCCACAATTTAAAATTATATGTCTATGTATTTATTGTACAAAAAGTTTTGGTATTTTGAAACTTTTTAATATATTATCTTTTTATAATAATAATAATTCATATCGTCACATATTTACTAATTAAGCCGACATATCTGACAAAAACGGATTGGTTTTTGAATTTTTATTAATTTTCCTTTTTATTCGTGTTTTTTAATGTTTTTGAGCTTCTTTTGATACAAATAATTTTATCTATCTATGAATTAATTAAAATTAAATGAATCGTTTTTTTGTGTAGTTGATAATTTTATACAATAATTATAATGTTTTCATTGATAATTATTAATGAAAAAAAATCCACGTTCCTTTGCAGGTGTCTAGACATATTCAATAATAAAAATATAAAAATTTTGATTTTTTTTGATCTTCTAGAAATTGTCTGCTGCGCAAAAAAAGAATAATGAATTGAAAGGGGACCTCTTTTTTCTTAACAAATATAGCGAAGCGGAAGCTGCTTGTTCTCAGCAATCTGTGCAAGAAACAGCACCGCCAACGGTAATAATAATTGTTTTTATTGAACATTTATATATTATTGGTCGATTCTCGAAGATTCTTAACTTAAATTGAAATAATGAAAAAGATTCTTAAAATGTAGATTACTCGCTACTGTGTAAACAGTAGTCATCGGTAGTAGTCAATTGCAGTCATCAGTTTAAAAATAAAAAAATTTGTCAAGTGCAAATTAATCTTGCTTATCTACGATTTTGTGCACATTTATTTAAAATAATGCAATTTTTCTTAAAATGTACACGTTAAAATCGCAGTAAAAATTCACATGTTTAACAGATTTTATCTCTGTAGCTCTAAATTTATGAATATTAATTTTAATATTTGTAAAAAAATAATGTTCTCAGGGTTTCATAAAAATTTCAATTATTTTTATAATCATGAACGCTTTTTAATGTACTTAAGCTTATTTTAAAAATTAATTTCTGCAGTTTAATATTTGATCTTAAACATTAACATGTAATTTCTTTTCTAAAAAAATTACACATTAATGTATAAGATCAATTATCAAACTAGGGAAAAAAATTTTTAAAATAAGTATAAGAACATTAAAAAGCGATTAATAATTTAGAAATAATTGAAATTTTCATGAATTTCTGAACGTATCAGTTTTTTGCAAACATCAAAATAAAATGTTGATAAAATTACTTCATTCATATCTCAATTTTTTCAGAATTTTCTCATGCTTTAAAAAACAAAAAGGAAAAAAATTTTATTTTAATAATTTTATGTTTAAAAATGTTTCTAGTTGAATTTTTATTGATCCAAAATAGGTGGTCCCATAATTATGGCTGGTTATGTTAATCACTAAAAGAAACTTTTTAATATATTAGATATAAAATATAGAAGAAATAATAATTTTGAGTCAGACTAACCTGTTTCATTTCAACACCGTTCAAAGAACAAAAAATATAGTTTAAATTTTAATATTTATGCAGATCTATTAAAAAATGAACTCACAAAAACGTTTAAGTTCTTCAGTCTATTCAACCTTGGCATATTATTCTAAATATTGATCTTGGATAAATTCATCCTAGTTCTTTTTTTTTAATTATTATTTTTTCTTTTTTTATTTTCATAGATTTCAGACGAATTAGCACAAAATATGTTGGAAAAAATGTCCTCTTTGGAGAATCGTCTTATTGCTTTAGAGGAAAAAGTTGATCAGTCTTCAAACAAAATTATTGAGGCATTTCTCTCAAATAACAGTAAACAAGAAACTCACACGGTAATTTTTCTATTTAAATATTGTAAAGATATTTCATTTCACAATTAAAAAAAAACTATGAAAATTCGAAATACTTGAATAGTATTTCAGAATTGAACTTAAAAGTTTTAAGTATGATCTAAATCATGCAGTATCACTTTTTCATAAATCGAATATAGGAATATGTGTAATAAAACAGTGAGAAATAACATTTTTTCAAAACAAGTACTCTTATAATAAAATTATCGCAGTCAAAATAATTGAATTTTCCAGTATTGCAGTGAAAATTTTTAAATCTACCGTCAACGGGAATAATTTTAAACTCCCAGGAGCTATTATTCACTAAAAGAAATGTTATGTGCTTACTGATAGAATTATAGTTGGTGCAGCATTACTTTTTTGTTAATGAGTAAAATTTTTCTATCAAATTTTTAAATTTTGCAAATTTCCTTTAAAAATAACTTTAAAAAAATATTGTTTGAGATGAAATAAAATTTTTTTTTGATTTGAAAAATTATATTAATAAGCCCATTTTCATAAATTGCTTTACGATTTTCTGAAAAAAAGTTGTATAGATTGGAATTTATAATATTTTGTCAAGCATATGAAACTATGAGGCTGAGGTATGTTTCTACCTATAACAAAGAGGCCAAAATAAAATAATAACCAATAATAGCACAATCGTTTCTAGGTTACTATTTTATTATTACCTCTTTTCTTAAATACCTCAGTCTGCACAGTTTTACATGCTTGATTGAATGACAAAAATTCAACTTTGTTTCTCATTCAATCATTCAATCTACATAACTTATTTCTTTTTAATTCATAAAACTATTCACAAAAATGAGTTTTGAAGCTTAATGATAATATTTTCAAACGCTTGTCCTGCTGGAAGATTCTTTTGGAAGGCCATAAACATGAGAGAGGGAAAAAAATTCATATGTTTGCCTTTAAAAAGAAATAATATTGAACCATGTTTCGAGGCCTTCAAACTTTCTGTGCATGCTACCAAGCCAAAGAAACAGTTTTCCGTAAAAAAATGTAATACTTACAAAAATAAAAATTTCTATCATTATTAACAGTACTGTACGATAAAACTACACCCAAAAAAAAGTAATCTTATACTTAGAGGAAAATTCCTCTTCTAATATCCTCTAAATATTTCCTCTTAAAACAAGATTATTCAATTGAAATGTAGAATATTTTTATTCTTCATTTTAATGGAAGAATGACAAAAGGATTCCTTTTGTATTTTCCTCTTTAATTAAGATTTTCCGTTTTAAATTTAGAAGATTTAAAAAAAGGAAACGGAAAAAAATAATGTAATCGTTTGATCCCTTTCCCTGGATATGATAGTTGTGAAGTTGTTTTTTAACCTTTCAGTTTTAATATTTCTGGTAAAATGTCAACAAAAAGGACAAAAAATGGATTTGCTTTATTAAAATTAAAAAAATATATAGTTAAATTCAAATTAAATGAATATTTTTAACGCTATTTTTAGATTTAAAAAAATTTGGATATTTCTTGTGAAATTTTACTACTCAGGTAAATAGAAATACTATAACCCCATTTTTGAATCTTTCGAATTTTTTAAATCTTTTTATTTACTTTTTTAAAAAAGTTTTAAAACGTTAAATAATTTCATATATGAAATTTTTTTCTGTCCTATAAAAAATGTTAACTTTTAAACATATCATCATGTTTTAAAATTGTTTTTGCGCTGAAAATCTCGTTGATCATTACAACTGATTAATGAAAACTTATTTTTTGTATTTTAATTATCAATATAAAATGTTGATAATTAACCAAAAACATGACATTGTTAATGTTATATTAAAAAACAATTTTTATTATTATATTGAAATGAACTATTATAATTTTACTTAATTTTAATTTAAAAATGTATTTTCTGCAAAGATTTTATTATTTGATTGAAATTATAATTATTTTATTGATGGCTTTGACATTAAAAACAATTTTACGAGGTTTGGATGTCGACATTTAATTTAAGAGGAAAATCCTCTTAAATGAAGAATAATAATTTTGATACCAAAATTAAGAGGAAAATATGCATTTATTTTAGAGGAATCCTCTAGATTGAAAATTACTTTTTTTAGGGTGTACAAATAATTTAGAAAAATGGTCAAAATAATCATGTTTTTTGGTCCTTTGAAGTTAATATTTAAAAAGAATCCTCACTTAATGGTCAATTTTTGAGATCACATTCGTATTTAGCTTTATTAATTTTATTTTTACCCTGTCTAGATTATCGAAGGGGTTGCCATAAAAAAATATAATTATATGCGTGCCCAACACGAACAAAGCTTGCCTGGACGAATTAAATTTTTGGCTACTGGTTATTGGAAGGAGGATGTACATGAAAATTTGTACATGGAAACTAAAACCTGTAAGGAAAATGACGGTAAAGTCTATATTACACAGAAAGACTGCGACAATATCTGGAGTAAGTTGATGTATATTTCATTCCTAATAACATTATCAATATTGATATAAATAATTTTCAATTTATTTTGATTCAGTTAGATTGACAAATTTTACTTCAATCCGTTCAGCTGTTTTTCTCCAAAATTAAAAAAATTGGTTCAAAAAATTTGGATTTATATTTTTTTTTAGTTCTTTGAATACATTTTTTGTGATGATAAACACATAATATTCTTATTTTTTTTCTTATTCTTATTCTTATTTACCTGACTTTGAGTGATCGATATCTTCATACTATAAATATTCTTATTTTTAATTTTTTTATTAGCGTGGTCCCTTTTCATGCTGACATTCACATATTCTTTTTGACATAATAATATAATAGTAATCTATATTAATAAAATTACATTTCTCTCTTCCAAATACTTAAAACTTGAAAATTTATGTTTAAATTTTCTTTTTAAGTAATATAAAAATTCCAAAAATACTGTGGAAAATATATGTAAGCAATTTTTTTTTAACTTTTCTTGGAATTTTGGCAGAAAAATGGCTGTACGGATTACAGTAAAATATATATGTAAAATAAAGTTTATATGATAATAATTGAATTAAATTAAATGCATAAAATATAAAATAATTTTAAATTTGTAGGCGTATTGATTGCTCTTCAAAATGAAGATACCGCGCTTCCAGGGGTGGAAAACGATCTCACCTATCCTAAGGTTAAAAATGAAATAGGAAAAGTTTTCCGATACATAAGGAACAACAAAAAAGAAAAGTATGTAATATAATTCTATCTTAATATTTTATATTCATATTTCTTTGATTATTCCTGGAAATATCAAGAAAACATTGCCCAGAAACATGTAGGTAATATCAACTGGGGCATTTCTTGTACAATTTTAATTAAATTTTTTTTTTAATTCAACAAATTTATCGAATTCTAGGGTAAGTGCAAGTAAAGTCGAACAGTACCGATAGTCGGACACTTTGCAGTTTTTTGTCAAATTAATAATAGCGCACTGTGATATTTGTTTAAAATAATATACTGTACGAATGTGTAGAGTTCATATTTGATGAAAATAGTGCTATTTATTAATTAATAATTTAATACAATAATTGATAAATAAGAAATATTTTCTCGTTCAGGCGAAGAAAGAAAATAAATGAATTCTGAGGCAAAGAAGTTATATTTACAAAATTAATGCTTAAAATTATATGATTGAAATTAAAAAATTATAAATAGTATTTTAAAAACAAAGAACACCAGTTTCTCACAATAGAAAAAAATTGATAATCAATTACTTCGGTATTGAAATAACTAATTTTTTAAACGAAATTTCAATTCTTTAAATGTTTTCGTTTTCATTAGAATTCCGTACAAAAAGTTTATACGTAAAGAACCCTATTCTTTTTGCTACGTACACTTTCAGTTTGCTGAAAAATAAAAACTGTCCGATTGACTGACTTTATTTTTAGCATGCACATGTATTTGTTAACGAAAATTTGAAAAGAAATGTCAAAATCACAATTAAAATAATAATCAAAGAATTTTAAATTAAAATTAACGGCTTTGCCACTCCCCTCCAAATAAACACGTTTTTATAAAAATTTGGTTATTTTTTTTCTATGTATGAAAAATGTATTTAGGTAATCGTAATAATATAAAGTGTATAGGCTTATTCTCCAATATTAAAAGATAATTGAAAAAACTTTTTTAAGTTGAATGTATAAGTCATTTTCAAATAGCAAATGATCAAAGTTAAAAAAAGATCAATTTGATCTAGTGCGTACTATGTCGTTTAAAAAAGAATAGGTGTGTTTTCCAAGGGTTAATGTTTGTTTAAACTTAAAAAAATATAAAGTAAATATTACTGTAAAGTGAATTCTTTTCTTGCAATTAGATTCCAATTTTATAGATATGTCAAGAGCTAACTTTAAAACCAAAATATTTTTATTGTGTGTTTTTTGTTTCCGGAATTAGCTAATATATTACATGTCTGTTTAGATAAACAGACATTGAAGAAATATATGTATTATTTATTAATTACAATTTGTATTTCAGGTGTGGCAACGATAAAAGCCATGAGGAAGAAGCATAATTTATTATTTTTATAATTTTAATTCTCGATGTTTCCTGGATGCTTGGAAGTCAGTTTCAAAGAGTTTAACAACTTTAAAGTTTAAAAAATTTAAATATACGAAAATGTAAAAACATTTTAAAGTTTTATTTTATTTAAAAAATAATTTTTTTCAACTTTTAGGATATTTTAATTATTATATGTCTTTATAAACTGTCATTAGATTAATGTTATTAAATATAAAATATTCAAAAGTAAAATATGTTACCTTTTTCTTTCTCTTCCCTTTCAATGATTTCTTGATAATTAGGCAGTTTAGAACTTTAGAACTTTTCCTCTGCGAGATGACATAAAAATTAAATGTTGAAAATGATAATTATTAAGAACCTTCTTTCATTGTCAACTTTTTTGAATAAAAAAATTGTAGAGGTAAAAAATATCCTTTGGGGGAGAAAGTTTTTGGTTATTGTATTTATATATAGGAAAGGAAAAAGCTTTGGCCGCTGCTAACTGCTTATTCGTTGAGTTTCAAAACATACTATTTTAAGGGACATTAGAACTTCAGCAAATGAGATTTGAATTAC